CGTTCTTAATGGCTCAAAAAGGACGATTTTTCCGAGGCATCTTGCCAATAACCGCTACGGCCAAATAATCGTTATATAATACTCCACGGAGTCGTACTCAGGTGCTGTGGAGATCGAGTCGGAGGGAAATCTTTTTCGGCGCCTTGCTTGACCTTCTAATGCTGATCCTCAGCTGCCACTTACGTTCTTGCCATGTGTGAGGTGAATGGGTTTGCAAGTTGCTGTAACGCGCCACTTTCTCTGCTGAAAGGTGCACTGGACGGCGCTGGATTCCACTCCCACTCAACAAATGTCGGGAGTGAGGATGGATCAGGGCACATCGTTGTTGGGGAATCCCCAATAGGGGGGTCGTATTTGGCCGCCAGGAGAGGGGGTCGTATTTGGGCTGGGAAAAATTTATTTTGATAGTTGATTTTTCTCGCTTCATGGACGTTGTAAAGGGGGGGGGGGTCGTATTGTCTCGCGATTTTTCTTGTTTCACATGTGCCATTTATCTCTCCGCTCGACGACTCGATTCGGTGAGGAAGGACAGAGGGCTGGGGGGAGGGGTCGTACAGTCGTACAGACTCGACTAACATCCCTAACTAATGGTGTGCCCTGGGATGGATGGTAGTATGTACAGTCGTCAGCCAGGCAGTTGATTAGGCGGTCAAAGGGTCGAGACGCGGCTGCGGCGCATCACGACCATCAGCTGTTTCCAGCCTGTTTTAGCCATTTTCTCCCTAGTTTTCACCGTATTTTTTCCTCAAGTTAAGTTGATTATTATCTTAATGAAGTATACTGGAGCGTGGATTCTTTCTTGTTTTTCTAATGAGATGTTTTTGCAATTTTTTCAAGTATTTGTTTAATTGTTTAATTAATTGCAACAATCAGAGAAATCTCAATCATAATTTACCTTGTGAAGACAAGGAACAACTAAACCTTGAGAAAAGCAGTAAAAAAAACAAACACTGAAAATCAGGGAGAAAATAGGGAGAAAATGGCTAACCGGGCTGGAAACATCTGATCGCCGCGGTCGTGGCGCGTCGCAGCCGCGTCTCGACCCGTTGACCGCATAATCAACTGCTCGGATGACAACTGTAACATCAAGAAGAAAATTTGGATATTCCATGTTGTATCTGCTACAACGCTTGCCCGGACAGCGAGCTCGTCTTCTGTCTTGTTTCACTTCCCTGTGCATTTCCCACAAGTGAAATTAGACGTTCCTTCGCTCGAGCACTTATGTACCACTGAATATTAATTGTT